AGCTCACCCACCTCACTCCCCACAAGAGGCAGAACAGCGGCAGCATGGGGCGTTAAAGTGGCGGCACTCCATCCCAGCCCCCTTCCTCCACCATTCTTGATGGGTAATTGGCTTGTGTGTGTGTGTGTGTGCGCGTGCGCACACACACACATATACACACACCCCTCTATATATAGACACCTATATACATATACAAAATTAGGGCTGTGCAAAGCTTCAGGTGGTGATTCTATTCAGAGGACATTCGGCCCGATTCAGTGGCTGAATCTCCCAATCTGAATCGAATCAGGGGACCAGTTTAAAGGTCTGAATCGATTCAAAGATCTCCAAATCTTCAAAAAAGAATTGGAGAGCTTTGATGATTCGGACATTCCCCACTGGCTGCAGCAGAGAGCTGCAACCAGACTCCAAGCTGGTAAGTACTGGGGGCAGGGGAGTGGGGGCTGAGGGAGGGGAGCCCTGCCAGGCCTCCTGACCCCCGCCCACTCCCCTGGCCCGCCCCCATGGCTGCCCCGCCTGCCCCAGCTCCCGGTGCTTTAAAGAAAAACCCCAATGCTCACAGGGTGCTGCTGGGCAGGGGGGCAATCCCTGCTGCCTCCCACTGCCCCACGCTGCATGGGGGGCTCTGCCATGAGCCCTCCAACCCCCTCTCGCTCCCCTAGCCCCCCCACGGGTGTCCCATGTAGGCCAGCTCTGGCCCTTTAAGAAAAAAACCAAGAAAAGCCCCAGGACTCACCACTCCTGCACCAACCTAAGGGATTCAAGGGGTTTGTGCAGAGCCCCCCACATGGTGCAGGGCTGCGGCAAGCAGCAGGAATCTCCCCGCTGATGGCAGGAATGGTAAGTCCAGGGCTTTTCTCATTTTTTTTCTTAAGGGACTAGAGCTGGCCAGGGAGGGGCAGCCATGGGGGGCTAGGACAGCAGAGGGGGGTTGGGGGACTCATGGAGAGCCCCCCAAGCAGCATGGAGCAGTGGGGGGCAGCGGGGATCACCCCCCTGCCTGGCTACTCCCACTGAGCCAGGGCTTTTTTTTCCAAATAGCAGGGAGCTGGGGTGGGTGGGGCACCATTACCAGGCTGCAGGGGATGGGCCCGGCTGATTCAGAGATTTGGCAGACCCCTGACCTTCTGACCCCTGGTTTGTACCTCCGGGGGCAAGAGCAACCCTCATTGCTGAGTGTGCTCCTGCAGTCTTATACACTGGTGACCATCCCTGCAGCCCCTGCTGCTGCCCCTCAGGAATGTGGAAGGACTAAAGGGTATGAGTGGAGCTGAGCTGCAAACAGCAGCTTTGTGCATCCACCTGCCCACCCACTGAAAGTACACTCCTGGGAGCGTAGGGGATGGGGGCAGTACAGGGGCTGTTGGAGGACAGAGAAAGTTGGGGAAGGCAGCATCAGTGGTGGCAGTCCTAAAAGGAGAAACCACAAGTGCCTGCTGAGTGGCTGGGGCAGATGCAGAGTGCTGGATGGGGAGGAGAGCATTTACCTCCTCACACAGTGGGGGTCATGTGGCACACTTCTGCCATTCTTGCTATGGATCTGTGTGCCTTGGCACACCCTTTAGGAATCAGTGTCTAAGGCGCTAATTTACCCTGCCTTCTGTCTAACTTCAGTCCAACATGGCTAATGACCTCTCCCTATGGACAGTCCAATTCCACAAGTGTAGAATGGCAGAACTGATGATGCATGAAATACTAAATATAGCAGATAAAGAAACAGCATGGATATTTCACAGGGTGTTCATGGTTACTAGGAGTGTGCAAAATGGGCCATATTTGATTTGGATTTGGCCTGAATTGGGGACAGTGATTTGATACGTTGATTCAGATTATTGTCCCCATTTTGATTCGGCTGAATCTAAAGATTCGATGTCGATTCAGAGAATCAGTGATTCAGCCATAGACAAAACTTTAAATTTTTTTCTACATACCTCAAGGTACCAGGCATGGCTCATGAATGATGTGATGTTGGAGCGGATGAAGCGTCCCACAGGAGTGCTGCCCCCCCCACGTGCTCAGCAGTGAACCCAGAAGTGGACCGAAAGTGCTTCTGGTCCACTTCCAGGTCTGCTGTCAAGCATGCTGGGGAGCCCCCCATACTCCTGTAGGACGCTCCATCTGCTCCAACATCGCAGCATTCACGAGCCACCTGGTACCTTGAGGTACGTAGAAAAAACATTTAAAGCTGTGCCTATGTCCAAGTCTTTCCGAATCGATTTGGAGGGTTCCAATTCAATTCAGAAAGATTAAAGGTCTCCTGATGTGATTTGGATTTGGAGATTCAGCCACCAAATTGGGCTGAATCTCCACTGAATCAAATCAGGGACCGAAGCTTGAGACAGCCCTAATGGCTACGCATCTTTAATTTATCAAACATAGACAAGGTAACAGTTATTCTTCAGAAAATAAGGTCTGTTTATATACCTCTCATTCCATCTAAGGAGAGCAGAATAGAAAATAGACTAACCTGCACCCTGATTCAACTGCAAAGATAAAAAACTTGTTTCAGTTTTATTATGTTCCCTTGCTCTGTAGAAGTATTTCTATTGTACCCTTCTGACACTGTGCTTTAAGACAATTCTATGTTATGAGGTTATATACCTAAGAGATTCACATGATGCTCAAACTCCCTTACTCTGGGGAGTGAGAGTAGAGATAGAGACAGTTCAGATTCAGAAAAGCAACAGGAAAAAAATGGGATCTGAGTCATAGAATTACCTTCAATAATCTTTCTTTTGGAGTAGCTGACTTGAAGGAAACAAGACTTGGGTTCTGTTATTTGCATCTAAAGTCTACTGCTTTGCGTGACATGGGAGACAAAACTGGAAACATGAAACTGAGCTAAGTATGTCCTCCCGCTAGATGAGTTTCATCAGTCCTCTAGAAGAGGGAATAAACCTTCAGGGAGCAGTCTTTTCCCCTTTAATGGTAAAGTGGGCACTGAACAAACCACCCTTACACTTCCTATATGAAGGCCATTATGGAAGAAGTTTCAAAGAGTACTGAGGAATTTGTTTTAGAGTTAATGTTCCTGAACCATTTTATTCATTTCTTGCGAAGACAGTGATTTTTTTCTACATTCAAAATGGCAAATTCTGTTTGTGTATTCCTTTCAAGTTGCCTACAAGATATTCACAACACTGAAGATAAGTTATAGCATATCAGACTCTTCTCAGCAACCAGATCTTCAACTGGAAGAATAGATTCAAATGAACCACTCTTTCATACACTGTTTTTTATGGGTGAAATGTCTTTCACTGATGTACTGGTAAAAGCAGAGGTCTCTGATCCAGGGCTCGCTTGACTTTTGGAACAGTCTTTTTAGTGTGTGTTGTGTTTAATATTCTTCAGCCCGACAACAGATAAACCAGAGTCACTAGAAACTACATATAACTGGATAACATGAATGCAGGAATCTATATAGTCATGCAATCATATCCCAATTTTTCTAGCGTTTTTTCCTAGATGTGTTTAATTGAAAAACTATTTGAGTAATATTCTCTGTTCTGTAAAGCTCCTACATAGTGAATTTATACCACTTGGTCTATCTGCTAATGACACACATACTCATCTTAAATTATCTGGTCCAGAGAGTTTACTTCCCTGAAACAATTCACATGATTCTCCCCCCAGAGTTTTGGATTATTTATTTCCTTGTCACTTTGTTGTGATAATCTGTGATAATTATCACTGGTGATAATTTATGCTGTTACTCATAAGTAACTCCAGAGTCCCATGAACTCTCTGACAAACTGCTTGAGTTTTGGAAAGGATTTGTAACTCTGCAAATTTGGCCACGAGGGGAAAAAATATGTTTAAGACATATGAAGAAAAAGAACACTGAAGTCTACTCCATGTACTTATCTACAGGCTAATCTGGTGGCTTCAGAAATTGTACATTGATTCCCATGCATTAATGCCAAGAAAAGGCTGTCCAATTCCACAACTTCAGTGTGGCAGAACTGATGACACATGAAATAAATAATAAGTATAGCTAATAAACAAACCCAGGATTGATATTTCACAGGGTGTTCATGGTTAAGCCAGCCTAATTGATCATTCACAACATGCAATTTCTCTGAGACTTAAATGACTGAAACCCCAAAATGCTCTTCCTGAGGCAGAAGTGGTGGCAGGAGTTGGGCTGGCTGCAGTGGCTGCAGGAGCTGGGTCAACAGTGGCAGCAGCTGATGTTCATGCACCTCCTCTAAGTGAGCACCTGGGGCTAATGCCCTCATCTCTGCCACTCACCTACATTGTCCTCAGCAGGGACAAGAAGATGGCAAAGCTTTTGCATAGGAGCTTCCTCTGTTGCCAAATGCATGTTTAGTTTACAACACAATTCTAACTCAATAAAAACATACCCAGTATGCAAAATACAAACACACATCTCTACTTTACCTCATACTGGTACAACTGATCTTCAGCCTGCCTATGTCAGACAGTCAGAGCCAAGGTTCCCTCTAAGGTGCGCATGTGCACGGCCACACACAAGTAAAAGTCTGGCTGTGCACCAACTTTTCAAGGCCACACACTGGGAGAGGAGCTGGGCTGTGGCATGGGACACTTACTGAAGGTAAGCTCCTCCCTGAGGTGGGGGCAGGGGCCTGGCGTGGGCTCCGCTGGCTCCGGGGAACTGCTCCTCTCCCCAGCATCACCTCAGGGAGCAAGGAGGCATGTGGCATCAGGGCTAGGGAGTGGAGCACTTCCCCAGAGCCAGTGGAGCCCACGAAACAGTTCCCTGCAGCCAGCAGAGTCCCCACCAGCCCCCATCCTTGCCTTGCCTCACCTCAGGGAGGAGCCGCTGCCTGCCCCAATTGAGGCTCTGCCGGCTCTGAGGAACTGCTCTGGAGGCACTGCCAGCTCCAGGGAAGTGCTCCACTCCCCACCCCTGATGCCACGCGCCTCCTAGCTCCCCGAAGCGATGCCGGGGAGCAGAGCAGTTTCCCAGAGCCTGTGCCAGCCCCCAGCCTCCAGTCCCCAGGCGAGAAGTGAGGAGCTTACCTTCAGTAAGTGTCCCACGCTGCACTGAAAGAGGGAGGCAGGACCAAAGCGGCGTGCTCACGGACCGCTACTCCTTAGAGGAAACATTGGTCAAAGCCAGACTGCAAGTCTCCGATGGGAGAGGATATTTGATTTCTAAGATTTTGATCATATTAGCCAAATTACTAAATTGTGTGGAAGTTACTGCTAAAACTAGATTTCTAGGTTCAAATGGAGGACTAATTAATATATAAGCACATAAATATTGTAATCACTGCTTAACACCACATTGAGTTCAAAACAGAAAATAAATATTTAATATCTGAGATTAACTATTATTTGGTCTGAATTATCTACTTCCTGTTCCTTCCCCAAAAATTCTCAGCTTCAAAAGGATACACAAACCTCTCTTCACACCCTGAAGAAAACCTAAGACTCCAGATGTACCAAAGATGGAAAGCACTAAACAAACAGTGAGAATACTAGAACCTCAGAGTTTACAGGAATCTAGCCTGCAAATGTACATGGCAATCTTCATACGTTATGATTCATAGTGAAGGGACATTCTAGGAAGGTAACTTTGACACCATGAGAAATGTATGTCGACACATTGGGACACTGATTTATTTTCTTCCATGTCACTCTGATTTTCCTCCATCTGTCTCAAGTGTTCTTGATTTATGTCCCCATATAAAATAAATTTCGAGTAGGAATAAGATTTTACTCAAAAATGTGTTTATTGTAGTATAAATTATTCATTATATTGTAAAAGGAATGGCAGCATAATTAGGCCTAGTGAAGTCATGCAACTGTAACTCACTAATTAAAATAATGAATGTGAGCAACAATTTTCAGCATTCATTTTGTGGAAGTTTTGGAGCAGTTATAGAACTATTTTAGAAATCAGCTTAAGAAACTGCAATAAGGATGCACATTCTGAGTATCCATTAAAGATGCAGAGGTGCTAGTTTCAAAAAACCTAACTTCCACTGAAGTCAATGGCAGTACTTCTAGCAACTGTGAAGGTAAAACAATTGCTTCTGAAAATGAAGTGGTTCCAGAGACAAAATTAAAAAAAAAAGATTAAAAATTAAAAAAAAAACCCCCCCGCAAAAAACTGGCATTTTAGAGCCCTAAGTGGTATCTAAATCATGAAACCAATAACATCTCCTAAAGAAAATTATGTTCTTCTCCAGATGAACAAGTTACACTGAGAGAAGAGCAAGCGGGCATAATACAACAAAGGGAGACCTAAAGAAATGTTAACAATTCCAAGAAGCAGTCAAATCACTGCAGTTTATGTGTTGCCACATTGAATCTAGTTCCCTTCAAACCTAACCAAGAGGTAAGAATCTCTGTGGAAAATGTTATAGTAATATGCATGTATTATCACTATTCATTGTGAAGCAGGATGTGATATTTTTTAACAAAATCATAATAGTAAGAAAACTGTGTGCTTCAGGAAGAGAGGAATGGAAAGGAGAAGGAAAAAGCTGCACTGGCTACTGTGAATTGTTGTGGCAACATATATTTTTAGATGCAGGAATAAAGAGTGGGTCCAATTTGTGATGAGGGTTCTGTAAATATGGGGAAAAGCATTTGTGCTTAAGAAGAAACACACTAATCTGGCAGGAATGGAATGAGCAATTATTCTGACTGCTAGCTCCATGAATTCTGGAGCAACTTTAAATTGATAGCTAGACATTAATAAACCTATTTCATGGATCCTACCAGTATCTGATAAGGGAGCCATCTTCTGCTATCTCTTAATGTTATTAAGTGGAGCAAATTTATATCTGGCTAAATAGGCTTCATGAGTGCTAATCTTAGCCTAAAGCATTCTAATGGATTTCTTCCCAGTGTTATAAAGACTTCACAAGAAGAACAGAGTTGACAAGGACTGTATAACATACATAGCATATACAGAAACTTATCCCTCTGCAAACTCAAATTCAGAAGTGATGCAAATGTATGATATTTTATGAATCTTCACACAAATAAGTGTACCAGGATCATATACTTCACATAAAGTAGGATTGATACTATATAAAATAGACTTGTCTCTTACAATGGAAAGTGTTGGGCATCCTTAATTATAGCTTACAGCTATATACACATATTCAAATTATCTGGCAGAATTGTCCCACGTTTGTTCTCCTGATAAAATAACTTACCTTGAGATACCTGAACAGACATTTGAATGCTGAGCTCCTGAAGATCAGAAAGCTTGTAGTGCTGATGCTGTGCAGCCAAGGGACCCATATGAATACATCTTGGCATGCACTGCAGGCTCCCTCAGTCTGCCCAGAGACAGAATGGCAGCAGAGCATTGGGCAGCCCTGATTGGTAGACTCAGACTGCGCAGAGTCAGCTTGTGTCTCTCCGCTGCATAACGTGGGATTGCGAAGGGGGCATGTTCAGCTGGAGCAGCAGAGTACAGTGAGTAACACAATGTCTTCTTTTGGTGGAGGAAAGCAAAGCACCCCTAGATTCTGGAGGACTGTGCTGTGGCTTCTCTCAAAAAAGAATATGTGCAGATATTTGCTGTCTCCAAAGAAACTCTCCTGGATGTCTGTATACTCATGGTTTCTTCTAGGAGAGCAGTAACTCTCCCAAGAGAAACTGAGTGTTTATATGTGACCCCTGTTCCTAGCCTCGTCTATAACAGTGGTGGTGTACTATGCTTTACTGTCTTGTGCTTACTACAGTTTTCCACTATTACTCCACCCTTTTAAGAAATAATGGTGCTCTCCCATATCCTGGACAAGATAAAGATGGCCATATTTTCCCCTATTTCTATTGAGAGAGGAAATAAATTTATTTAATTCAAAAGCTTCAGGAAGACCATGTACTTGGGGTTTTGAAAATGAAGTTACACATCCAGGCTTTTTAATGAGCTCAAAGTGAAAGGAAAACCTTTAAAAATGGTCAGGTTGACACGCTTGACCTACCATCTACTAGAAACCTGGGCCCCTCTCCCCACCCCACCAAGATTATGGATCTAATCCTACAGTATGCTAACTCTATGAGGCTACTCAAATATATATTTTCAATGAGACTGAATTTACAAAAAAGTGGCCCCAAAGGTATGACCACAAGAGAAGAGTACTCAAAATCCACTAATTCTGTCCCGTATGTGTCTCACGTATTTATAATTATGCCACATCCACCTTCCAAAACTGTATGAGTTGTCACCATTAAAATGTTCATAATTGCTCACTGGGCATATGCAATGTTTTCACAGTAGTGTTTCATTTAACTTTTAAGAGATAAACAGTTATCACTTTATAATTTTTTAAAAAAAGGAAGAAAGAATCCACTTTTCACCTAACAAACTTTACCATGAAAAGGCTCATTATAGGAGAGCAATATAGATTTATCTGTTTCAGTGGGCCTGAAGCAATGGGTTAATGCTAACTGCATGGATTCCCAGTTTATATAATGTCCAAAGAGAGATCTCTGGGAAGGTACGTGGAAACACATATGAAACAAAGCAAAGCACAAATCCTAGCTGAAATGTATGCAAAGTAAATGCTGCTTTCTTAACAGCATCCCTGGGACCCTGAAGCACAATCCCAATCTCTACATTTTGCTTTCAACTACCAACATGACTCATAGCTCAATACAAAACATATAAGTAGTACAGCCTCTCCACACAAGACTCCTGCTTTTCTACCAGAACTGCACATTGCTCCCTCCAGATCATGGCTTTGCCCCCCACTTTGGTGGGGGGAATTGTGGAAAGCCTGTATTTTCTGTCTCTCTACCATACCTATGTAGAGGAGATTTGACTTCTCTCCAGTGCTAGTCCTTTGTAACTATTTGCCACAGTGACTGGTGAACAGTGAAAATGCAAAAAGAACCCTTCATTCCAAAAGTCTCTTGGGCAAAGCTCTTCCTTCCACCACACCATGACATGCCATGGCACCAGCTTAGTTGTAAAACAGTCACAGAGAAAACAAAACTGAAGAATGAAATAACAGACGAGAAACAGCTGCTGCATCCGTTATAGAGCTATAGCACGTTGGTGAAGCAGTTTGAAAAGCCTACCACTTAGTTATCTGAATTATCAGTTGCATTCAGAAGCTCATTTTGTGTACTGGTCATAACAGTAGGCCCTTGGCCATTTAGCATGTTGGGAATCATCATCACTAACAAAAGACGGCTGTGTATTATTTCACCAGAACATTTTTCTTACCAGTACAGACATTTTTTGTGTTAACTCTAATATTCTTTTTGATAAAAAAGAACTGAGAAAATAATTAACTTTAATAGCTCTTCTGTGAATAAAGCTGCACAACGGGATGGCAAATATAAATGAGCTTTCTGTAGCAAAATTTAAGTCTTCAAAAGAATTATAAGGGGGAAAAAAGATTATAGGTTCAGCACTGCTCTGGGGAAAATGTATATTTGTAATAAATGTATCAAATCCTTTAAAAACTACACCCATTGAAACTTCATATTTAGGCTGATTTGCTTTCCAAATCATATAGACGGCACAGTTGCATACAATCTTTAAACAAGTATAACCACAGAGAAATGCAGAGAGATTTAAGAGAAATAAAAGCATGATCAGCTAGCTTGTAATCTTCTTTTCTCTTATTCTCCTCCCTATTGCTGCATTAAATTGCCTGTTGAGAACAATAACATATTTGTGCTCTTATAGGTAGAATGATTTGTATTATGTAAAGATTTGGCTAACAGTCTAAAGACGCATTCACACTGAGCTGGATTACATGCTGTTAATAATTTTCTGGATGCTCTAGGGGACCCATAATTCTGGAGGACTACAGTTTAGCATTTGAATATATGTTTTGTAATATCTCAAAGCAGACCTTTTAAAGCCATTTTTCTAGAACCACACTAACCAAAAATCAGACTGCTGAGAGCGTTTTGGAGGAAAACTATACTGCAATCCATTTTTTTTCACCTTCTTAAGGACTAAGCATAAAATTTACCTTTTCCTATTTAACCATGTGACTTCACATACTACTTGCATAGCTTTCATTACAACCTCAGACTCATGCAGAATATTCTGTCAGGACTACAGTATTTTTTTTCCTTATCCTGGCTAAAAGTATAAAGGGGCAAGGAGGCCAGAATCTGTAGTTCTGAATAAAAGTTTTAAACTATCTGAGTAGCTCAGTAGCTATCTGACAATTTGTGTTTTTATATTAGAAAGTCCCTGCTTCAAAGCTAATCTTCAGAAAGATCAACTTAGCCAAATAATAAAATACCTAGTACTGCAAAGCAATGCCTCTTAAAACGTTAACATTCTTTTGGTATTAAGTATAAACTTCAGCATAAAGGAGAGTCCTTTATTCCTTTTTTCATGAAATGCTGAACTTTCTTGGCCTTCATTTGCTAAACACTGAAATCCTTTGTAAATTGTGTATATCTTTTTATAATTTCTGAAATACTTAGTACTTCAGAGAAGTCTTAAAGGATAAGCCCTCTAATAAATGGTATATCCTTGTACAAAAACAACCAGAAAATATACTGTAGCATTTCTTTATTAAACAACTTACTTTTCTTAACACTGCAAGGTTCACCTCTCAAATATACATCGACTGGGCAGAGTATAAATACTTTTTATGACCTTTGGTCTTCAGTTATAATTAGTTGTCTGGTCCCAGTTGCTTACAGTGTAAACAAAGACTGATAAACCCACATTGGCTGCATATATTTATTACAACACAGCTGCCAACTGTCTAACCATTTTAATAAAAAACTATTTTCTAAGGTTTATGTTTTATTGCCTGTATGACTCCCTTATTGGTTAGCATTTTGGAGTTGTGGAAAAGGTTATGAATTTAGAAACTGACTGCATTCATATCATATTTAAAACTTAATGCTATTTTATTAAAGACATATGGGCCTCCAAAGTACACATATTAAATGTCATGTAAGAAAAGTAGCAGTTTAAATCATGGTCACATTCATTTTTGACGTGACTCCTGAGGCTTCCCAAGATCTGAACTATTTCTTTGTAAATCTGGCAGTTTAACCACACTCATAAATCACTTTCAAAGCATATTATTTCTTAATTTTACTGCATTAGAGAGCATTTGGCCTACACAGTGAACTGTTTGTAGCAGTTATGTGAACAGAGTTGTACATTTAGTCTTACAATGTGGGAAGTGGGGGGAGAAGGGAAGACTGCTAATTTTTCAGCCCTGTATTTACCTCCTCTCTCTATTATAACCTACATAAATAATATCCCAATCAAACTTGCCACAGTGAGAATTACATGCCAGGATACATAACATGAAGTCCACGTCCATTAGCTTCCAGCCTAGAAATGAGAAGCACAAAGAATGCTTGCAACGTAATATTTGAGAAAATACTCCATTGGTATCTCCTTCAAAAGGAAAGGAGATCTAAGGTTTATAACGTGTACCAAGGGTGAAGCAAAAAATAGATCTTTTTCAAAAATAATGAAATTTTAATTCTTGCATTTGGCACCTCAATAAATCTGTAGCTGATAAATAAAAATGAGTACTAAATACATCTTCAGTAAATATTTTTCAAAATAACTAAAGGGCCAATCTATTGCCTATTGAAGTCAACAGGCAATGGATCAAGATTCAAAAGAGTTCACTACACCAATTGTTCCTTATTAAAGAACACTTAAAATGACTACTTTTATAACATTTATTTTGAACCTTTACACATTCTTCATTTATAAGCACAGACCATTATGATTCATAGGCTAAACATTTCATCCAAGAAGGCTGAACGTTTCATCCAAGAAGGCTGAAATTCAAAAGATAAATTAAAGCTAATCACCTCCTACAAAATACAGAGAACCCACAATTTCAAATGATTTCAAATGGGAGTTAAGGGCACTTAGCCCAATATGTAGTCAGGGCCTCTGTATTCACTAAGCCTGATTTCCACCCCTTTCACCTTGAAGGGAAATTTACTCATGCAAATCATAACCTCTCTGTTCCTTTTTTTTTAAACCATCTGCAAGACAGACAACAAACCATGAGACCACCTTTAGCTTCCTCTAGCTCTCAGAATTTGGAACCACAGAAATTAGGTAAAATTCACCCTTGGGGAATGCAGCTGCAACTTTTAGTTTTTTACGTATTGACATAAAGACTTCTCACCCCTCCTTTTTCTTTGTTAAGGTGAGCAGCATTCCAAGTTGGTTAGGCACCACAAGGGCCATCATTTTCAAATCTTTCTGCCCTATAATTTCTCAAAAGAAACGGGCTTCCTATTGGAAAAAGTGACATGAGACTCATTTTGGAAATTAGTTCTTACTGATAAATTTATTCATAAACCAGTTTCAGATTAGTTGTTACTAATTATGTCCTCAGGAAAAACAAAGTGGCTGATGGGTTTGACTGTGATCAGAAGTGGACCCATCCAGCATTTTTAGTGGTCACATACCAGTTGGCCCACATTCTGCTTTTGCTTTTGGGCAAGGTTATCATCATGTTCCTCCAATAACCTGGAACTAAAAGTATAGAATAATAGAATCATAGAACTGGAAGGGACCTGTACAATCATCAAGTCCAGTCCCCTGCCATGGGCAGGAAGTACTGGGCTCAGATGAGCTTGGCAAGCTGCCTTGTTTTGAACACCTCCAAGGAGGGTCACTGCACCACCTCTGCTGGGAGCATGTTCCAGATTCTGGTGACCCTTACAGAGAAGAAAATTTCCCTCACATCAAACCTGAATTTTTCCTCTATTAGTTTATGCCCACTGGTCTTCATCCTCCGTTGAGGTGGCCTCCTGAATAGTTGCTGTCCTAGTTCTTGATGCTCCCCCCTGAGGTACTTGTAGGCAGCTATCAAGTCATCTTTCAGCCTTATCTTCCTCAAGCTGAACAGGCCCAGTTCCCAGTCTCTCCTCATAGAGCTTACCCTCCACACACTTAATCAAACAGATGGCTCTTCTTGTACCCTCTTGAGTTTATCCATGTCCTTCTTGAAGTGCGGTGCCAGCAGGCAGAGGATGGGGCCTGGCAGGGGTCCCCCCATGGTTACCTCCCCCCCTCCTTCCCCTGCCCACTATATACCAGCTTGGAGTCCAGCTCTGTACTGCAGTGGGACTGCCCGAATTGCCAAAGCTCTCCAAATCTTTTCCGAATCAATTTGGAGAGCTTTGAATTGATTCAGACCTTTTTATTGGTCCCCTGATTCAATTTGGATTTGGAGATTCAGCCACCAAATTGGGTCAAATCTCCTCCAGATTGAATCAGCACCCAAAACTTCGTACAGCCTTATGTATCTGTAGAAGAAATTTTTGTTGTCCTTTATACCAGTTGCCAGTTTGATCTTTAGGCCTGCCTTAGACTTCCATGTCTTGTATCTGCAGGCCCTGGCAATATGGTTGTATTCCTCCCTGGTTGCTGAGCCATTCCTCCATTGCATATACACTTCTTATTTCTTTTTCAATAGCTCCCTAATATCACTGGTGAGCCAAGCAGGTCTCCAGGCTCTCTTTCCACTTTTTTCCTGTGTGGAGGATGGCCTGTTTTTGAGCCATGAGAACTGTCTCCTTAAGGAAGCACCATCGTTCCTGCACACCCAGATTATTCAAAGGCCAGTTGCAGAGGGACTCTCCAATAAGCCTCTTGAGTTTGCCAAAATTTGCCTTCTTGAAATACAGGACGTCTGTTCTGGTGACTAACTTCCCAGTCTTATGGTGGATGGTAAACCTTATCAGGTCATGGTCACTGTCTCCCAGAGTACCATCAATCCTCAGGTCTCCTATGATGTTCTCCCCTTTGGCCGGCACTAGGTTCAGAGTGCCCCTGGTAGGCCCTTCCATAACCTGTGTCAGAAACATATAATCTATTTTCACCAGGAAGTTGGCTGACCTGTGTACCCAACACATGTCTGGGTAGTTGAAGTTACCCATGATGATCATGTCTCTAGTGCTAGCTGTCTCTGTCAGTTCTCCTGAGAATGTTCAATTGCTCATCTCGTCTTGGGAGGGAGGCCTGGAGTAGACTCCCACTATTAGGTCTCCCTCTCCCGGTCCACCCTGTAGCCTAACGCAGAAGGTCTCAAAGGTTCCTTCCCTGATGTTAAAGGTGACCTTCAGGGATGGATTTCACATAGGGGGCCTCACCTCTCCCCTTCTTTCCAATCCAATCCTTCCTATGAAGCCTGTAACCCTCAATATTAACTGCCCAGTCATGCGAATCGTCCCACCAGGTCTCCATCAACCTAATCGAGTCAAATTCCTCATCAGCCAAAAGGACTGCCAGTTTCTCCTGTTTATTTCTCATGGTTCTGGCCATAAAGGCATCTGAGCCTCCCCTTAAGACATCTCAGTTTTTCTGTCATGATGTCTTTGCCTCAAGATGCTAGAACCTATCTGGACATCCATGGTTTGAACGCTCTCCTGTGTGTCATTGTGGCCCCCAGCCCCGACATTCCTAGTCCTCCTCAACAAGTCAGTGACTCTCACGGTGAAGAGCTTCTTCTGTCTGCCCATGAGATGAATACTGTCCCTCGCACAGAGGCCACTGTAGCTTAACTGCACACTAAGGTTGAGGTATTCAATACCCACACGGTGACATCATCTTCTGAGCCTTCAGTTGAACTCCTCAATATACTCCTCCCTCCAACAGCCATGGCCCCTGAGAGGATTAAGGAAAAAACAACTTGCAGTCCTAGGTCCTTGAGCTTTGCCCCCATGGTCCTGTAGTCCCACATCATCCTCCCAGGCCTACTTCTTGCTGTCATTGGTTCCCACATGGACAAGAAGCACTGGGTCAATAGGGTGGACCAGTTTAGGAATACTTGCTGTAACATCATGAATCTTGGCTCCTGGAAGGCAGCAGACCTCACGAGCAAAGGGGTCAGGCTGGCAGATGGCTCCCTCTGTGCCCTACAGCACAGCATTTCCCATGACAATCACTCTTTGTTGTTTTCTTTCTGGTGCTGGTTGATGCTGCACAGGTGCATCCTCCAGCAATGGTGAGAGAGCTTCATAGCTTTTGTGCAGTGCTAGTGGAGGGAGAGCTGATGCACGTCATGGCTTAAATCCTAACATGACCATTTTCTACCCACCTTCAGTTGGGGTATATTTCTCAGGCCTGCTCATCAGCCTAGTATCTGCGGTGCTCGTCTCCAGGTGCAAGGCCTGGCAGTATGCATCGATCTCTCCCTTGTGTTCCCTGATAGCACACAGCCTGTCCACCTCCTCTTGTGGCTCCCTCTCCTGGCCCTCCAGTCTCCAGCAAGAAGCACATCCCACAAGCAGGAGTGCCCGTGCCCCTAATCCCATATTCAGCAGTTGTGTCAGATGTACCAGGCAGCACCTGCAGCCTGGAGTCAAGGGCTCCATCTACATGGAGGCTGGGACCATAGGCTCTGTCTGGGTGGAGACCTCCAAGGTACTGGGGAGGCAGGGGGTAATGGAAAGTCCAGGAGGCCTAGGGGTATGACATGTACCCATCACCATAATGCCAGGGGACCCTGGTTGCATGGTTGCCTGGGTGTTTATATTAGTAGGAGACCAGGTGGGTGTTTTTGCTCCCATGTGGTCCTCACCAGCTGCAGCTGCTGTGGTTAGGTAAGCAGGCTCAGGCAGCTACCTGTTGGGGGGTCCCCTAGCTTCCAGCTTCCCAAGCAGCCAGAGGAATCCCAGGGATCCTGGGTCCCTCCCTGGAGGCGGGGAGGGGTGAGCCCTCGTCTCCTTTACCTGGTGTCTAGCATAGGAGCACTGGAGGACTTCCCTTAGCATGGGGTGGGTGGGGCTTCAGTTGCCTGGGGTGTACTGTGCCATGCATGGGGCAGCCTGGGGGTAACTCAGTACTAAGTGGCTGCCGGACAGCCCTCTCACGCACCCTCCTGTGCAAACTCCAGCACAAACTGGTGTGATGGGCCCAGAGCATGCCTGTTTGTGCATCTCCAGTTGCATGGCTCCCTAGGGGCTGGCCTAAGTAGGATCCATGGTGGGGTGTGACCCTCCTCAGCTCCACTCACAACTGCCTCACTGGCTAGTGCCCACCCACCATGGGCCCCACTTACCTCTTGGCTCATACTGGGGTCAGGTCGGGGGGAGGGTCAGCTGGGGGCCAAGCTCACAGGGATGCAATGGGGTTACATGCATGTGTCTCACACCAGAGTTGGATCCCAACTGGAGGTGACCCAGAAGGGAGGGAAGAGAGTATTTGGAGGTGTAAGACCTTGCTCAAGGAGCAGCAGCAAGTGATTGGTAATATTGGTAGACGAAAGCCACATTAAGGGCGCTGACACAAGTGACATTTTATCATGCAGTCACCCCCCTGAAGCACTCTACAGCCATGCCCTTACAGAAGGGCATTGCTGAAGAATGCTTTAAAAGGTCCTAATCCCATAACAATATAAAGACCTCATTATATAAGGGTTCAGATAAAGGTGCTCCTCCCATTCTGAAGATAGCACTGAAGCTAGGAGGAGGGAGGGGAGAAGCAGAGTGAGGGGAGAGTGGCTTCAGACACACGGCTGCTCTAAACTGCAGCTCGATCTCCCAGCCTCCAGGACCCAACACCAAATATGTCAGGCCTGAGGAATCGCTATAGCTCATTGCTTCCTGCAAAGCACCATGAGTTACAGCAGGGAGCTGCGTGTCTGTCAACACTCCAAGTTCAATCCTTCTTCTGATCCAAATTTTGGACATTTACCCATTTAATTCACGTGGCCAAATTAAAAGCCATTGTCAATTCTGGTGCACATATAGTTTCTAACGCTGCTGTTTATATGAAAATATAAGGATGGGTCCTACTGGGTTTACACTGTAAACCAGGGGAGGGCAATTATTTTGGCTGAAGGGCCACTTAAGGAGTTTGGGGGCAGGGAGGGGAAGGAGAGTTGAGGAGTTGAAGAGGAGATTGCCGACACGGCCTCAGCCTCACCACGGCTGTTTACACTGCCTGGCGTGATGATGGGGAGGTGGCGTAGGGAGATGCTAATTTATCCTATCTGGCCTCAGACCCATCCATCCCACACCCACCACTGGGGGGCACCAGACAGAGCAGGTGGCAGTGTCTACATGGAGACTGGCCCAGGACCCCCGGAGATAGGCCATGCTCAGCTGGGTAGATGGGATGGGGAAGCAGGCAAGCAAGAAGTGGTGTCTTGGAGCAGGATGGGCAGGCAGGGCCAGGGCTGGGATCATGAGGCAGTGACAGCATGGGGTCAGGGCCCAGACCAGATGTATGTATACTCCTGCACGTCCCACTCCCAGACACTTCTCCCTGCCCACCTGTGCCACCATCCCATTTGCCCAGCCAAGCTCACCTTGTCTGTGGAGGTCCTGGGCTGGTCTCCATGGAGATCCTGCCTTCCCTGTCTGGCAACCCCAGTGGTGGGTGTGGGGTGGATGGTCCCAGGGTGCCTGGGAAGGAGGGCTGAGATCCAGCAGTGGTGGTGAGGGCTGCTGGGAAACTGAATCTGGTTACTGCACCACCCTTGACACCCCACCCAACCCCATGGCCTATAGCACCTAGCACGCCCAAGCGCTGTGTGTGGGAATAGGGCAGGCTCCACCAGTTGACACCTCTACACCTGCAGGTGGTACAACTGGCTGCATGTGCCATGGCCTGCAGCTGGCCATATGCACACCCCCTTCCCCCGGTGTCTGAGCCAGGTGGGACTGAGGTACCTGCCGCGGGCCAGACGGAATCATTTGGTATGCCAGATCTGGCGCCTGAGCCATATTATGCCTACCCCGGCTATAAGCTGTGTGTCTGGGTATAGCTCCTCACATATCAAACCTCTCCATCTGGATTCTGAAGTCTAGAGTAGGGCCTAAAATTTTATTATAGACATTGTTTTAAAAGATATGAAAATTCCAAGGATAACAACAGTAAAAACTGAAGAAACAATTCCAGGCTTTAGGTGCAAAGTTAAGCATATTTGCATTGGGGATACCACTACAACTTTAACATATAAATTTCACAAAGGAATCAACTATTACTATTAGAGAAAAGGTCATCTCTTAGGAAGATTATACCCGATTGGTTTTGTGGAAAAAGAAAATTTCAAAAAAAGGAAATTTAAAAAGTGAATAGGGCCTGGTCACTTGAGCCCTGAAATCATAGGTAAAATATGGAGTATGGCAGACAGAAAAAAAAAAGAACAGTAAAAGGAAGGAAGAGGAAAGAAGAAAGAAACAGAGAAAGTTTTCAGGAGATGAATGTATAGCGAAAACACAGGAAAATTTCCCTGCAAGCATGGGGTCAAACTGCCAATGGTTTAGATTCCAGTTCTACACCACTATTTAGGAAGGGGAAAAAAACCTGTTAAGAAATCTAAAGTAGAGAAAGCAGAGATGTGAAGATGATTTGCAATTCACAATGTAATCTTTCAAAAATGTTTTAAAAATTCTACAGTTAGAACTGTGACAATGGGAATCTACCTTAACTGACTTCTCTGTTCAGAAAATTAAATAACCAAAGAACCTTCACTGTAGAGTTCTGGGCAGGTAAAATAAATAACGAGTTATTTGGAAAATAAACATTAAAATGTCCTTCCTGAAAACACTGGTATAATTACTATCAGTAACAATGCCAGTGAACTCAGGTAAATTAACATCAAAGGAAGCTCTAATTACAGTGCACCGTCTTGTTATTGATAATACCCTGTCTATTACTGAAAGCCACCCTCCTGTAAAGAACATAAAAGGAAACAATATCTACTTCTGCTGTCATTTACAGTGCTCCTTGTAAGCAGGTCCATATGCAATGGGTAATAATTGCTGACCTTTTTGACTGGTCAGTAGGATAATGAAGGCAATTTAAGAGAGAAAGTGTCCATGCCCTGCAGACCTTGTTATGGCAACCATATCACATTTCATCACAGCTAAAACAAATGAGAGATGAAAATGCAGCCATGACAGTTTTGGCAACTTCTGAACCAGATACTTGACATTTACAAAATTACATATAAAGCTTTGTTGCTGTTATTTTGCCACTATCTCCCAAAAAAATTCAGATGAATGTCTCACTATGAATTATGTCAGCTTTGCTCACGGTTCAGAAACATAAGAATAAGGAGTATTTTATAATGACATCTTTGCTAAGTGGTTTGGAAGTAACACATGTACCTCTAACACTCTAGGATACCTCTCTACCCGTGGGCATGCCTCATCAACTGTTTAGAAAACATTTCAGGATCAACGTGCCTTAAAATCTAGGAAAATGCACCAGCGTATACGAGTAAGAAAGTAACGATTAGCTGATCCACAGAGTCACAAATATCAGAAGAAAAGTATCTTTGAAATGTAAATTCTTTGTCAAGATTGCAGCATGGAAATTCCTATACCTGATTGTAATGTCATATGCTAACCAAATACAATAGTGTTAACTTTTCTGAGAAGTCAGAACTAGAGTAGAATGCAGTCATGTTGCTACTTTGCCACCTCCTTCCCACAAAGGGAAACACACACATACACATTAAAATCGGTAGAAATTCTGTCACTTGCCGAAATGGTCCTACCAATTCTACCAATGGAGCTTAGTAAGAAACACAAAAATAGATACATTTGAATAACATCGTTAAGCAGGGTGAATTGGTGGATTGCTGTACAGGCTTCCCTGTACTGGACCTCATAACACCGTAATAGCCGCCATATAAAAATATCTTACAGTTTCCATTTAATCTTCACAGGTGGGAAATCTGAAGACTAGAAAAAATAAAAATAAAAAAGTAATAAACAAGTTGTTGAGTTTTCTTCATTTAAATGGATGTGTTAATGATGTGCAATTCATATATTGCCTTTCACCAGAGACTCTCAAAGTACTTTACATGTATTAAATAAGCCTTACATAGGGATCAATTCACCTACCACTAAAATGCAGCCACCTTTGATTTGTAAGGCAGCAGCTGGTTAACTAGCACACTGCAACTCTATATAACAGTTTAGGGCAGAAGGTGAAGAAGTATAGTACAGTAAATTGAGACTGCAGAGAAATCTAGGGAGGCAGAATGTAATTACTTGATTTGGAATTTGGCCAGGGCATCAGGATCAACACCCATACTCTATGTAAAATGTGGAATGGGATCGTTAATGGCTACAAAGACATTGGCTTCATGACTATAGATATATAAATAAAAAAGCACAAATCCTTGGAAGAGACTTCAGCATTTCAGTAACATGACTTATATTGAAATCCAGTCCAAATTATACTTTTTAAAGATCTACAATCTATCAACCTTTCAAGAAGCATCACTATGAAAATAAACAGTAAGTAAAAGTTCCTGTTCCCTTTACTAACACAAAGCTCTACACCTGAAGAGTCTGTTCTTGCCTCATGTCACGTGGAACTATAGCCAGTTCTATTCTAAAGACAAAATTCCTTTACTACTTCAGCATCCACATATTTTCACATCAGCCTCCACAGTTAAAAATAACTGGTCATCTCATAGCCCAATGACACAGGTTCATTTTCTCTGGCTAGATGACTATTTGTGCTGTCTGGTGTATAAATCATTCCCTTGCAGATTTCTTCTTCTGCTCTCCTTCAGTCCATTTACCAGAGTCCTATTTTTTCCACCATCATATTTGAATTCCACACCTTCCAAGCACTCCACAATGTCACTTGTCTACAATTCTGTAATTTTTTTAAAATTTTCTACATTGCCCGTGGTATCACCCCTACTAGACTTGTTGACTGTTTGCTTTAGAACAAGCAAACTTTTTCCCCCTCCCTGTTACTCTGACTCTCTCTCCCTCACTTCCTTCAAAGACCTTATAAAAAGCTACTTTCATTTTGAATACCAGCACCAATCTCCACCCATACTATGCCCTTTACCACTCTTCACTCACCAATGATTGGTGTGGAAGTAAACAAAAAGGGGGCAATGGGAGGACAAGGCAAAATAGAGACAACTCAGTGTGACAGCCAGTGACCTCAGTACAGATCAACAGCTCCAGTTTAACTGTTGTCAGTTACTACATAGGTAACTTGCACTGGAACTTGGGTATTAAATGTTGCTGCTGTCAGTGATGCCAACTCTAGTGGGATTTGAGTGGAAGGGAGGGCCCGACCGAATCATATAAATACATGAAAATGTCAGGGTTCAATTAAAAATAAAAGGAGTTTCCAGACCTCTCAGTTATGGACAGAAAACATGAAAATAAAATGTGAGTGCCATGCTCTTTCAGGACCCAGAAAGGAAAGAGCAAAGAAAAAGAACCCCAAGCAATCTCATGAGTCTTCAAAGCCTAGAACACAAATTTATAATGCTGTAGATAGTAGTGCTGTGCTGATACTGATCAAAGCACCTACTACTCTCAGGCCAAATTTCTGAGGTCTGCAGAACGCTTCATGTGATCAGTTGCAGTGGATACCTGTTCAAGGTAAATAGTAGGGGTGTGTGAAAGGAGCCATATTAGATTTGGATTTGGCACAAATCAGGGACAGTGATTCGATTTGTTGATTTGGATCACTTTCCCAGATTCGATTTGGCTGAATCCAAATCTGAAGATTCGATGCTGATTTGGAGAATCAGCAATTTGGCCATAGACACAGCTTTAAATGATTTTTCTACATACCTCAAGATACTGGTCATGACTCATGAATGCTGTGATGGTGGGACAGATGGAGTGTCCCACCGGAGCATGGGGGGCGGGAAGGGCAGGAAGGGCATGCTCGGCAGCAAACCCAGAAGTGGACCAGAAGTACTCCCTGTCCCCTTCTGTGTCTGCAGGAGAGCGCACTGGCCGCCCCCTCCCCCCCCCCGCAACCCTCCAGCTTGGTAATTAGCTGTGTGGGGGGGCCCAGGTGCCCCCCCAGACCCAGGAGGCACCAGTTACCAAATTGGGGTGGCATGAGGTCCCCCCCTGCACCCTTCCTGGTGGATATGGAAGGGGACCAAAAGTGCTTCTGGTCCACTTCCAAGTCTGGTACCGAGCATGCTGGGGAGTGCCCCATGCTCCTGTGGGATGCTCCATCTGCCCCAGCATCTCAGCATTCACAAGTTGCCTGCTACCTTGAGGTATGCAGAAAAAACATTTAAAGCTGTGTCTATGTCCAAATCTCTCTGAATTGATTCAGAGGTTTCTGATTTAATTCAGGGAGATTAAAGGGTCTCCTGATTCAATTCGGATTCGGAGATTCAGCCACCAAATTGAGCCGAATCTCCGCCGAATCAAATCAGGGACAGAAGCTTCT